TATATATATATATATAGGTTCGTGCACGTATACCCGACAACGGTGTTATCCGGGGCTCACTGATGAAGTATCGATTCAGCCAAAAGTCGTAAAAATTCTGGTGGACAGTGGCACGCGACGAAAATAGTCGGTAATTTACCAGAAATAGCCTAGCCTTGACAAAACTCGAATGGAATTGGAAAAACTGTCGAGTTATTTTTACCATTCGAGCCGATCGCCGTTGAAATTGCCATTGGGCAAAGTAAACGTGGAAACAGCTCGATTTCGCAATTATACTTTTACCTCGAGTACATTCATGCACGAGTGAGCCATTACTGTATATACACGTAGGTGTATTGTGGTACACGCGAAAATTCGATTACAAGCGCTGGTCCGAAAGTTTGGCGAGCAAACGAGCGAACGTTGTAGAGTCGAGGTGTAACAATGTTATAACTGAAAGATAATGGGGAGCAATGTTATTAACAAAGAGAGCCTATACGTGTACCACATACCACGGAACGAAAAGTACCTGGTGCCCGAGGCCCCGTTCGCTAACTTTGTCAGCTTCCGTGAACGGTAGTATACGTACGTATCTAGCAACAACGTGCAGGATTGTTGTATACCTACAAGAGGTATCGGTAAATCGGCAAAGAGTCGTTTTTAACAAACGTAACCTTTACCGATCGCGATATAATGTATCGAAAATTAAGAAGAAAAAGAAAAAATTACTTGTCAATAAAAAAATAAAAAATAGCGATTAGCATCACCTACTCCTTTTTTCAATGTATACGTGGTAAAAAGACTATTGCATGTATTGTTCGAGTCAAACCGACCGTTCTGTAATTTTTCCGTAATGATCGAGAACAAAAAAAAAAGTTGTTTTATCCACCAACTCTTAAAACTGTAGAACTTGGTCAACTTGGACCAAATTCGACCGGAGGGCGTTGTAATATGCACCCCGGCGAATGAAAAATCAAGAGTAAAGCAGAGCCAAAGACGCTCAAAAGTAGCAGACAAGGGAAAATTTCCCCCCCAAAAAAAAAAAGCTCAATCACATTATGAGGAAAAAATTAAAACCGGAAAAAAGCCCGATGTAGGTGGCGCGGCGTGCTAAGAAAAACTCGCAGGCGCGGTGGGTCGAATCAGTCGCCGCTGATAGATGGTAGCAGTAGTCGCTTGGAAAAGTTCCTCCGCGAGCTTGCAAGTAAAGCACAACATATATATATATAGAGAGAGAGGGACTCTCACGAGGGGGAAAACGCGCTATATGTATACCTACCACTGAGAGCGAAGGCGCGGGGGTACGGTGGCAGGGGGGGGGGGAAGCAAGCGCGGCTATTTCAGGCCCGCGTGTGGGTATGTCAGTCGTACGCGAGGACTCGCGGTGTCACCGTCACCGTCGTGGTTGTACCGTTTGACGCGCGCTCGATACGACTTTTACTCCTTTGTACATCCTGACGCGTTCTATATCTCGTCTGTACCAAATTATCGGCAAACGAGGCAAAACAGCGCTTGCAACCAACAACCAGCGTATTATACAAACGCAAAAACCAAGAGCTTTTACATCGAAGCCGGATAAATCTAGCTCCGTTGGTGCAGTGTGTGCGCGCGCGCCCCCGCGTCTGTGTGTTTTCGCTAGACTAGAAAACAGAAGAGCGGAATGGTGATGATAGACATGGCCGATGCCGTTGTCGACGAGGAGGACCAGTGCGTATTTATGCCACATTACCATGTATATACGTGTTGTTTCGTCACCGCTGCTATAAGATGCCCCTTTTTTCCGTATATGTAAGATTTAAAAAACAAAAAAAAAAAAAAAAAACTTGCTTTCCTTCCACCCTTCGACTTCATCCTCCTTGGCGCTGCTGGGGAATCAAAGTATATTCCTCTACTTGTGTCGCAACAGCAGCACACGCGGTCGAATTGAACGAAGCAATTTTTTGCCACTCGTGCGACGAGAGGCGTTGTCCTCCATTTGGCCCGAGTTTGTATAAAATGTATACTTTCCCGCTGTAAAACAGCCCGCACACCTTTTGTATGGGGCCGAGCGAGCTTTGCAAGCTCTGCCCTACCCTATACCCTCATCGAGACGTGCGTGCGTCACTGAGTAAATGCTTACTCATACATCTTCTTCGCTCGCCTGTCATACACATTTATACGCTTTTGTTGACTGTCGACTTTATGATGCATGTCGTCATTGTCCTGCTCGGGCTTATTGATTCGTCATTTTAACACATTTTATATATTCTCGATGTTCCGCGAGTTACATGTTTTTTGGATCATATTTATATAAATAGATATCAACACATTATATGTTATGCTGGTTTTACGAGCATTCGATGTCTCATGAATAATCGATGTGAACGTACAACGTGATGCTCGAAAGGTGGGTAGGTTGTACGAGGAAGCAATTTGAATAATTGATTGGCCGGAGTGGAGCTCGAAAGGGAAAAGGGGCGAGTGTCCGAGTATATAACAACTTGGGGGTCGGGGGGGGGGGTAGGAGGAGGAAAAGAATCGATAACGTTGAGTACGGTTTGTACCATATTGTCCTGTGGGAGCAGAGAGGGAAGTGGGTATTTGGAAGCAATGGTAGTCGGTGCTTTCGTGATTTTTGACGTGGCTAAACCTCTCCGAGAAATTGCACGTTAAATAACCAGATTGACAATGTTTTTTTTCCCAAGAATCTCGTATTACGCACGTACTTACCAGTGTTTCGTGCTCACACGAGCGACGCAAATGCAAAAAAAAAGCACGTATCGTTATAACTCCGGTAACAATATATCGCGTCCTGTCAAAGTTGACATGGCAGTAATAGCATGCTCGCGCGCGTGTGTATGGAATTACAGACGTTTTACTGCATTATTCGTTATTCACGATCAATTTGTCATTTACTTTTTTTTTTTTTTCCCCGTAATGTCAATGGTAATTTTCTTTAAAATGTATAATAGTGAGCTTTTTTTTCAAAACTTCGTGATTAGCACACAAAAAGTATGGAATAGAAAAAATTTGTACGTTAAAAATTGAAACCTACAAGTAAATTTTTATCACATAAGTGATTGAGCGTAGGTTGTCATAATTTTGTCAATTTAATTAAAAGGTTTTCTTCAATTAACACACCATAAAAATGTTTGCTAGGGTTGTGACAAAGTCCACTATTATTAATTTGATAAAACATTGTATTTCTTCGAGATCTACACTTTTTCTCAACTGTACAAAAGCCCAAGGAAGTGTCTACTTTTCGTGACAGTCGGGATAATTGTACACTTCTTTTTACACACACAAACAATGTACAACCAAATTCGCGTGAGTGGCGTTTTTTATAGCAAGTTTTATCACAGTTAGAGGGCTCTAATGACTTTAACGTTGTTCGCAACATAAAATTGTTGTAATAATGCAATTGGAAAACATAATCTAGAAAAAAAAAAATTAATCGACGTCCTGCAAGGTTTGAAATCGTAATTACCCTGCACTAAATAAGTATTGTTGTAATTATACCTACTTGTTTTCATCTTTTGAGATCCTTTTTTCTACAGATGTAACAACAGCAGCATCTGTTGTGACTCATTTACCGTGTAGGTATAGGATTATATCGAGAGCACAGGTACGTGCCTCGACACTAAAGGGGCGTCGTAAGAATTCATAGGCCATCTCAGTATAGCTATCAATGTATGCATAGATATCCCGAGTTTCATCGGCATCGACTCGCAAAAAAGCACGTACGGATCGTCTATACCGGCTCCTCTTTGTTCTCCACTGCTCCCCAAAGCGTCCATTAGCTTGATTTTTCTCTGTTTTTTTATTTTATTTTATTTTTTTTTTTTTTCTCAACTCGTTTTATCCGCTTATTACCTTGAGTAATAATCAAAACCAAATATTAGCACCACCGCAATGCTGGCGGTATATTCAGAGGCGCTGCGCCGACTGTATTAGTCATTGGCCGCGATGCGCGGATGTGATTTTTTGAAATTTCTGGTATCCTCGAGCAAATGCTCAGAAACAGGAAAAAACAAATATGCTGCGATGTAACAAAATAGGTGGTATGCAGGTCCTAGGTTTTAATTGAGCGAAAAGATCTTCAATGACATTATTTATGGTCATGCACAGTATGCGCATGTATTATATACAAGTGCAAAAGTAGATCTTGTAATGAGAATTAATTGTTTTTTTTTTTTTTTTTTTTTTTTTTTACGACAGATACGAGCGTCTACTGAGACGTGCCAATGTGGAGGATCTGACGGAAGTCTCGGGTATCGGATGCCTCTACCAGAGCGGAGTCGACCGCCAGGGACGGCCAGTCATTGTGTTCTTGGGCAAGTGGTTTCCAGCCAATGACCTCAATCTCGACAAGGTAACTGGGCCAATTGTCGTTTGTGTTGTTTACCGCTACTTCGAAAGCTTTGCAAGTTCAAGATGAGACGCGAAAGATACCAACTCTTGAGTTTTCAACGATTCGCCTATAGATCGGGTTTTCGCCGCTTACGCGTTGTTAGGTGACAAATAAATATTTTTAAACCCACAGTAAGTAAAGCACTGACGTGCGTTGCTCGGGTGAAAAAAAAAAAAATCCAGAGTATCTATACATCGGTGCATGTGCGAAAATAACCGAGATAATTGCGAGCAAGCGCACGCTGCGTTTGTGAAAAAAAGGGGGATGGACTAGAAGCGACCGGGAGAGGGGGGGAAGGTACCAACACACAGATCGATTCGCCGCTACCTTGAAACTAGAGCAGTCTGCGCAAGGTTGGCTCTCGCGACCGATTCTCGTGCATTTGTTTCATTGGAATTGCAAATTTTTTTTTTTTTTTTTTTTTTTTTTTTTTTTCAAAGCTTGTTGCTTTCGTACTTATGAGGTTGATCTTTAAATGCTTTTTGTTACCCGAATCACTAATTCCCCGATGATTAATCACCGAATAATAACAGATCGAGGAACGTGTCTTTTATCGGCACTAGAGCTTAATTTGTTTTGTTGAACACGAATTCTCGGGTACACTTATAAATACGCATTTTTTTTTTTTTTTTTTTTTTTTTTTAGTAGGATGTATTTGTATACGTATATTTCGTTTGTTTCCAGGCCTTATTGTATCTCATCCATTTGATGGATCCGATAGTTCGAGGAGACTATGTCATTATTTACTTCCACACTATGACGCTCAGTCGTAATTATCCGAGCTTAAGGTGGCTCAGAGAAGTCTACAACATACTTCCTTACAAGTGAGCGAATTTTTTTATTTTTTTTTTTTTTTTTTTTTGTAACTACGACACCCAATTCGAACAACTAATCATTCGACGTCTTTTTCTCCAATGTTTCAGGTATAAAAAGAATCTGAAGCACTTTTACATTGTTCACCCGACGATTTGGACCAAGGTAAGGATAGAAAAAACCGGTAACATATTGTGTAACGTTTCGGCCTGGGAGAGCGAGTACCTAATTTTCTCTTGAAATCCTTTGCCTTATTTCTTTTCTCACCACACTGGTCTGATCTGTTATTCAACGAGCTCTGCAACAATCGTTTTTCTCGGCCGCGAGTTTACAATTATCTCCCCGGCTTCCCAGCCTGAACTCATTCCCATCAGCAGTCCATCAAGCGTTTTTTTTTTTTTGTTTTTCCCTCCTTCGGTTCAACCTTCACCGTTCGCGCGTCTATATCTACACTTTTTCATACCATACAATACGTACATATTAGACCCACTGTAATAAAGTTGCCTCATAATGCTTCAGATGATGACCTGGTGGTTCACGACATTCATGGCTCCGGCGATCAAGGAAAAAGTCCACAATCTACCGGGCATGGAGTACCTCTTTGAAATCATGTCACCCGATCAACTCGAGGTCCCCGCTTATGTCACGGAATACGACATGACGGTAACAATCACGATTTGCGTGTACAATACATTTGCGAGAGCACAATTTTAACATATCAACGCTTGCCGCTCGTTACAGATAAACGGCACGAACTACTACCAGCCGGAGCATTATCTGCAAAACTCGACGTAACTACCGCGCGCGATCCTCGTCTAGTACAACGGAGCCCCACGGTGCGCGACAACCACCTCCCGCGTGCGCTTGCTCCTTTTGGCTAACGAGGACACCGTGGATTGGCGCCGGCCGAGAAAACTACTGCTCGAGTCGTTTTGTGATTGCTCGACCGAGTCCAGCCACTCGTCGGCACCTCCGAGCGAGTCGAAGGGAATGATATCCGTGTCGGTCGAAGCAAGCTGCGCCCGGCGAAGCGAGGACGATTACACGATAGTATAGGGCGGTGCACGGCATTACTGGGGGGGGGGGGTCGTGACATGCCTTTTTTTGCGCGATTCCGAGGCGATGGTGTATAGCGGGAAAAATCAATCGATTGTAAGCGTGTGTGTGTGTGTGTGTGCGTGCGCGTGTGTGTCTTAACTAAACGGGAAATTCGACTTACAGGGCCTTCGGGGCTGAGTGCCAAAAAAAGACAGCTCACCGGCATTTTCTCGAGCTGAAAATCCGCGCGGGAGACGAGCGATCGATTAACGCCACGTTGCGTGTTTATGTACACCGCGCTATTGTTTCCGTCGTTATGTATCGTTGAATACGAGTGATTGTGATTCCACCGGCAAACTCTTGATATCTCTCGATTACAATGTAAGCTGCGCGAGATTTTTTAATTTTTTTTTTGTTTTCTCGCTATTTTACGATTATCGCTGGTTTCTCGTTTTTTTTTTTTTTTTTTTTTTTTTCGAACGAAAGGGTGACTTTTCGTTTGACCTGGTGCTCTCTAACGGTGAGGCCTAATTGTTTGGTTGCAATTTTACAGGTGTGCACTTTTTTAACCTCGAGACGTGAGCTACAGCCTAACTAATTTAAGGTTAATGCACAAAAAATTCGTGTCGCGAGTATTTTGTAATCGATGATATTGCGGTAAATTCACGAGAAAATTTAATAAATAAATAAACAAAACAAGACAAAATGAAAGATCAAACTGCCACCGACGAAGAGAGGCTTTCTCAGAGAGCGGACTGCCCCTTTTTTAAGACGTCAAAGAGGCCAATCTTTGTGAGATGTATTGTGAACCCTCATTTCGTATGATTTAAAAAAAATTCATTATTCGCGTTGTTCAAAAAAAAAAAAATCGTTTTTGTAAAGTATTCGCGGTAAGTTAATTTTTTTCGAATATTTTAATTATGTTATCAAAAATTGTTGAAAACAGAAAAGTGGCTAAAAAAAAGGTAGAGGTGTAGCATGTGAAACAAAGGTGTGCAAAAAAAGACCGTGCATCGAACTATGTAAAGTTTCACTGTTCTGTACAAGAAATGGCCTACTGAAACTAATTTTATTTTGATAAATTTTTTCTTTGTCTTTGTGTACATTTTACAGTATATACTTATATTAACTTTTATAAATAGGTACAAGTTGATAATACTTTATTAGAAAATGTTTTTTTTAGAATTATAACTTGTATTAAACTTTTGTTCGGTTTATCTTAACTGTTTATTATTTTGATGAAAAAAGAAATTCTTTAGCATTTTAATATTGATGTCATTTTTATTTTTACAAATAAAACAAAGTAATTCAATCGTTATAAAATGTGGTATATGTTAAAAAAAGTGTAAAAAACAAAAGAAAGAATAAAAAATTAATGTTAAATGATTAGTAATTAAAATTCCAATAACTGTATGATGCACGTTAGTAAAATGTTTTTGTCACACAACTGTTAAGTTTGTATGATATTTATTAAATACGTTACATATAACATTAATACCTACATGCATCCAAATAAACGTACCTGTACATGTACTTGGGTGTACTTATAGTCAACAAGAATTTGATAATTTAAACAAATCTGGTTTCACATTTGTACGGCAGGATAAAATAAACGAATAACGTTGAAACCCCCACGAAATTCATACTTACAAATACCTACATTATAATAATATCTATCATAATATTGTATCTCAATATTGAATTTCTCTTTAAAACCGTTTGACTAGAACAACAAAATAAATATTAAAAAACAATAAATTTGTTGAGCTTCAAAGAATTCATAAAGGATAAAGTACATTTTTTAACGAAAAAATAAGTTTAAAAAATAATTGCAAAAATATGCTGTTTCACCATGTACAGGTGTTATAAGTAATATCGGCAACTTATTTACATTGTTTAATAATAAGTTATTAAAACGGTGCGGAAAGTTGCAATAAAGAAAATCGTAAACTAAAAAGTTTCTAGCTAACAAAAATTGCAGATTGGTTTTTTTTTGGATTACATAATTTCTTTATGTATTGATTACGACACTGAAAAATTTTTTAAATAAAAAAAAATGTGCAAACTTTGAAAATAGTTTAGACTGTAACATATATTATATATAAACAATCAGTACAGCATAAGTGTTGAAAATATTTTAAAAATTACCGACATATAAATATACGTATGGATAAAATGTGAAAAAAAAAAAAAAAACTACAAGACCATAAGTAAGGATATAAGTTACATGGCAGCCAGCCTTATTTTTTAAAAGAAAAAATTATAAAGTTGAAAAAGCGATGATGGCGACGTAGACACCGCAAAAAGAGAGTTTAGAAAGCACAGCAAGTTGTTACAGTATTTTTAAATTAACGAGAAAATGCTAATCAAACAAGTGTGATAGTTAAAAAATAAGACAACACAGCAATTACGTAGGTGCACCGAAGGGGTAAACAAAATACAAGTATCAATTAAATTTTTACTTAGCAATAGTGCATTGAATTTTGTGCACCGGGAGCCGTGATTCTGTGTCACACACAACTACGGAGAAATTCAACATTTTACACGTCACAATCACTTACCAAAACTAACTTTGGAATCAATATTATCAATACTATTGTTATTACGATCATTCTGTAATTATAAAAATACGTATAGGGAAAACACTGAATGGTTTTAAAAACCACGCAGTCAAAAGTAATGCATATGTTTAGCTCGTATTTTTTTATCAGTAATTATTTACTAAAATTATTACTAATAAAAAATGTATTATTGAAAATTTATTACATTAGCATCGGTGATAAGTAAAAGAACAAATTTATCGTTATTTATGATGTTTGACAAAATAATTGACGATACGAAGGATTGTTGGGAAATATGAACCTTGAATATGTTAGGAAACTGTTTACATACGTTGTTGTCAGCATTACTATGTGCAGGTAAAAAAGATAATTTATGTACATGGTTGTGTTATTGTTAATTTCAACTGAATTAAACCAAACTGTTGTAATATTCCGTAAAAAATATCGTTTGCTTGAAGAAAAAAAAAAAAAAATTAAATAAAAAAAAATAAATAAATAAGAAAAATTAGGAAAAAAAAAAAATTACCTGTAAATTACCAATCTACTTGTGGATATTATTAATTATCTTTAGGAAAATTACATTGAAAAATCAGTCTGTATACATTTCAAAAAATTATACAAATCATACAATGTGTACTCTTTTTCTTTTCTTATCGGTGGAATAGCGTTTACGATGTGTTTAGAGAAAACGAATAAAAATCAATCTTTAAGTGTAAACTAAATACGTATATTACGTAAAATGGGACAAGAACAAAGTGCACGCAAAAGCAGCGTTGAAATCAAAGTGGGCATTGGTCCGTACAATGCTAATGAATATTATTACAAACAGCCAATAATGTCGAGTAATCAGTGTAGATACGTAAGTTTGAAAGCCTAAAAAATGTACGAAGGAGAAATAATGAAAACATGAACAATAAGAAAATTGGTCCGAGTTCCACTATATTTATAATTTTATTTTCTTACACATAATATATCTATCATTGTTATAGCGTCGAAAATATCTATATTCTAAATCTCAGACATTGACAACAGGAATAATAATGATAATATTTTACTATGGTAGAACTTTGCTAATCTCAAGTGACAAAAGAAGACGTATTTTCAACAAATGCGAAATTAATGTCAATAAGTTGTGTCTCAATGAAATCTCAAAATCTTTTTTTCGAAATGACGTAACAATATTGAATAAAGTATAGATGAAGTGCTGAAATGAACATAGTTTCGAAATATACTCGTTTGACTTTTGAGATTTCAGTGAGTTTTCGAATTTAAAGTATATAGTATTCATATACAAAAAAAAAGAGCTTAGCGATAGCATAAAGAAGAAAACGACAACAATTTAGTCTTCTCAGCGCGTAGAGATTTTCCCAAGTGCCATGTTCTCCCAAGCATCAGCTTCGTTGTTGCATTAGATTTTTCGTTTTATAAAACGCTCATACGGACACTCACAGTGTTCATAGTAATAATAATAATATGTACCACTTCATTATATTATAGACTACGTGTTTGAGTGTAATTTTCACCCATAGGACCATTTTTAACGGCAGTTGAATTCAATGTTATCTACTCACATGATATTATAATCTTAAGGCTTCGAAAATATGATTATTCTGACGTTTATAATATTACACTTGTATTGTTGGCAACGTATAAAAAAAAATTATTAATAAAACAAAAAAACCGAGACCTTTTGCTGAGTTGCTGTCGTGAAAAAACACATTAATTGACTCGACTTCTCTCTCTCTGTTGTTGTTATTGCTTTTTTAATTACCAGACTAAAAACAAACATTTTTTGGAAAATCCTACGAAAAACTTTGTAAGGAGGAGACAATTGTAAATTAATGATCGAAACGATCATCGTTATTATGTATAATGCCGTATAAAAATTGTAAATTCAAAGAGTAGTTGCCGTTTTGAGTTTATCACAAGTTGATTGTATTAAAAAAGCAACTGATGATAAAAAAAAAACTCATCTACTCTTCCTCCCTCTCTCGTTTTATCATAAGAAGAGCAATAAATTTAGGAGTTTTATATCACTGCTAAGGTAATTATTATTATTATCATCATCATCGTTACTGTTACTCAGATTTTTCGCGTAATCATTGTAAGATTAACCAATATTATCGATGTTATTATTATTATTATTATTATTATTATTATTATTATTATTATTATTGTAATCAATCGAGAACACTCGATATTGTTAAGGGTTTTTAGCGATCGATCACATTATAATAAATTGACCAATTTATTCGTTTTAATTGGTGTAATTATTTTTTCACTTTCACTCCCCGAAATTCCCATTGACTTTATAGAGCACCTGTAGGTACAATCATCTTTGCAATTACTTATGCATGTAAAAGTAAATTCGCTTATACATATTACATAATAGATAAAGTTGATATTTTGCAAAGTGTATTTATTTGTCTTACCAGTAGTGCTTCAAGTTTATAGTTAAATTTTTTTACGACGGATTAAAGAATCAGAAAAGTCTTAATATTCATAAAGCTAACTAAATAACTCTATTTGAGTGTATCATGCATACATATGTGCTACATTTTATAATATATATATTGTACATCACACCTACAAAGTAGTATTTACGGAAGATAGTCGGTAGCCGATATAGATAGGGTCTGAACGCTTCACTCAAGAGTTTGGTGTATATGTCTGGAAAATTTGCATTTTACAGTTAGTAAAAATAATTTATTTTGAAAATATGACTTATTTCATGAAAAAAGGTGTTTCGTAGTTTTTTGGTGAAAATCTAAGTTTTGGAGTTAACGATTTGGGAACGCTTTTCGTCGTTTAGCAACACTGCGATGATATTGCATTGCATACAAAATAGATCGATCCTTTTGTATTCAACACTCTGTCGCAGAATATCAGGTATTACAGAGTAGCTATAGACTTAAATCTTTGAAACGTATAACGCGATGTAATGTTGATGTTCATGAGATGAATAATTTTCTTTTAAAATAATTTGCTTGTCACTTAGGAGCAATAAATTAATTCTTCCACTATTTCAAGTAATAATGACAATCTGTTTGAGGGTTTATGAAACTTAACACCATAATAGACGATTCATGAATATAAGTTGGGCTTTTTCTTCTCTACTAAAAATATTTGAACCTCCTGTGGAGACATCGCGCTTAAAAAAAAAAAACATCGAGAGCAAAAAATTTGGATCATCTCTATCTTTCGCGAGTGTTATTGTATACACGGTGCAATTTCCAAATGTAGATAAAATTACCGAAGCACGGCGTTTACTAACGTATGCGTATAGCAAATAAGCGCCCGTACAATACGTAACCGACCCCAAGGAAGATAAGATAAGTAAAAGAGGAAAAAAAAATATATAAATGGTTTCGAGGCTAATTGAAAAAAAATTTAGTGTCACTCTGTCAATCAGCGCGAGTTGAATTTGCGAAAACGATACTCCCAACCGGCGCACTTGGTCTATACGATAATCTGCCGTACACTCAATCACGAGATACATTGAACTCATCTCGATTCCCCCTTCCCACCGCAACCTCCGCTCGACGATCCTTTGCTCTCGTCCCCACCTTATTTTTACAATCCGTTCGACATGATTATCATCGCGTTTAATCATTTGCTCTCTAGTGACACCTCATAACTTTTTCCCACGGCACCTCTCAAATTCGCATCACCAGATGCGCCGGTAAGTTTATCTTCCAATTTTTTTACCTTACTCGCGCACGTCATTTTCTATTATCACCAAAGTCATCGATATTACTTTACGATTGAAATTCAGGAAAAAAAAAAATAATAATCACAACTCCCACCTCATGGCCAATTAACGATTGGCCCCCCCCCCCCCAAAGAAAGACACGCGTGTAAAACGCGCCACGGCATATTTCCACAGTTCTCGCGCAAACTCGAAACCGCGAAGGTGCAAAAAACAAATCGAAGCAACTTCTAATTGGTTTGGTTGCATAAGGTATTAGCTTGCTTTTTCTCTCTCTCTTCCCATCTAACGAGTCGCCGTGCATAATGTAACTATACAACATGTATACTATAGCCGTAGCATCATTAGTTGATCACGTAGACCAGATGGTGATAAAAAGTTAATGATCGTGAGTCGGTGCGTTCCGTCGATCGGTGGGAGGAGGGGGGGCGGGTGGAGATAAGCAAAGCGGAGCGGAAAATACGGGCGTTTGTTGTAACAACTCGTCCGAATAGTAACAAGTGCCCGACCGGATGGGTTTGGGGACATTGAGCACTGCGCAGTACAACGCCAACTACAACGGGGGAATCAGCCTCGCCGGCGCGCGTATCACGTATACTTTTAGATGCCACGATAAATCATACCCGCGTACACCGGGACCGAGAGTACAATCGTCGTCGACGCGCTGTTGATCCGAAAGAGGGGGAAAAAAAAAAAAAAAAAAATGAAAAAAGTACTCGGTGTGGAGTTTGCGCCGCTAAGCGTGCCCCTGGAGCGCCGGATGCAGACTTTGGCAGCGGCCGCGTGGTTCTACTGCGGCGTCTTTGGCGGCCCGATCGGCTGGCTCGTAACCCTCCTCGGCCTCCTACTCGGGCCCAACTGGCTTCGGCTACTGCTAGTCGGCTACCTGGTATTTGTCTACTTGGACTGGGACACTCGACTCAGAGGCGGACGGAGGTAACGATGATTATGTCTGTTATGATTGGTCACCCGAGGAAAAAAAAAAAAAAAAAAAAAAACCACCTTTGCTTTATACTCCCAGCAAACGTTGGTGCACGTGGTTTCGCAACTTGGCGTGGTGGCGCTACTTTTGCGCCTACTTTCCCATCCGAATAGTCAAAACGGTGGACCTCGATCCAAAGAGGAACTACCTGTTCTGCTCGTTTCCGCACGGGTTGCTGTGTTCCGGCGCCACCGGGGCTTTCGGGACCAACGGCGCCGATTGCCCAAAAATCTTTCCCGGCCTGGACTTTCGCATACTTACCCTCGAGCAGCACTTCAAACCGCCCCTCTACAGGGAATACGTCTGCAGTTTCGGTGAGTCGTCTCGTAAATGTTGTTTATCATCAACAATGACAATATATGTATATGTGTATGTACGGATGACGTGTTGAAAACACAGGTGCCTGTAGTTGCGACGAGGGGAGCATGAACTACTTGCTATCGACTAAGCCGACGGAACGGGACGGACCCACCGAGGATCCGGTTCAGGGCCGCATAGTTGTTATAATGGTCGGTGGTGCCTCGGAGGCCTTCAAGTGCAAACCCAACACCTACAGCATCCTCGTCAAGCGAAGGAAGGGTTTTGTGCGGGTGGCCCTCAAAAACGGGTTAGACCTCGATAAATTGTTGTTGTTTTTAGTTACCTCAATGGCATGGTGGACGATTTTTTTTTTTTTTTTAATGATTTTGAAACAAATGGTTCCAGAACGCCTCTCGTGCCCGTGTTTTCCTTCGGGGAGACCGATCTGTACAATCAGATGAGTAGCCCGGAGGGTTCCCTGGTGAGGAGGACGCAAGAGTTCTTGAAGAAGGCCACTGGCGTAGCTCCCATTTTGCCCATCGGCCGAGGATTTTTCCAGTACTCGTTTGGCCTAGTGCCCAGGCGAAAGCCCATTCACATCGTCGGTAAGTCAGAAATTAATTGTACCTACGGGGAACTTGGTCTATATATTATACATACTTGGTTTATATCCGTTGCAGTTGGTGCCCCCCTGGAAATACCCAAGATAGAAAAACCAACGGCGGAGCAAATTGACGAGTATCACTCCAAGTTTGTCGAAAAGCTCGTTGAACTGTTCGAGACTCACAAGAGCAAATACGTTCGTGACCACGAAAACACGTTCTTGATAATGGACGACTGATCACTGGTGATTTTTTTGCAATTCGGCTTATTATATATACAACATGTAATATAGTGTAAATAATAATATAAGAAAAGAAAAAGAGGAGGGAGGAGGGTCACTGTGTACAGGTGCTACTTATAATGTGGGAAAAAAAAATGCATACATATAGTCGATCTTTTAATTGAAACATTGTTTATTAAAAATGATTCTTATTGAAGAGGCATAACTTTTATACACATATATTTGTATTTGTATGAAACTTTGTAAAAAATACTTAAGGGATGTAGTAAAGTAATCATTACGGCTAAATAAGAAGAAAGAAAGAAAGAAAGAAGAAAACGCGTCTTAAAAATTTGTAAACTTAATAATTTTACTCGTCTATTAATATTAAGATCAGCTCGTGGCGATGATCGTAACATGCGGGAGGGGGGGATATATGTATGTGATATACATATTACCGATAACAGCATAATATAGTGTACGCATTATGCGTTGGTGACGGTTAGAACGGTTAGCGCCGCGAACACGACAGTCCCAACGCAAACTGCAGCTCTCTTGAGTATCTGAAAATTAATTTACAACGGTGTTTTGCGTTGCAACAATAGTAGAGCCGGTTGTAGAGCAAGTTGCGGTAATGTATACGTGCGTACCTTGTCCTGCCAAGCTTTGTTGGTGATGCAGTCGCGGTATGGCATTCTCGTGAAAGTGACGCTGCTGTAGAGGGGAATCCAGTTGTTCGGAAACAGCCAGTTGAGAGCTGTGTCCAGGTACTTTCGAGCAAGGAAGGATTTTTTCGTCACCAGCTCGCGCATCTGGGATTTGAAGAAAAACCTTACTTTGGTTTAAAAAAAAAAAAAAAAAAAAAAAAAAAAAAAAAAAAAAAAAAAAAAAAAAAAAAAAAAAAAAACAACGAATAACAAAATGCACATTCGTACCTCGACGTAATTGTACATGGCCAAGTCGCAGATGGCGTGGCAGTCATCGCAGCGCATTTCGGAAAAGTGTGGCAGTACTTTCGCCAAGTTGCCGTTGTGCAGCTCCATCAAGTGATCCAACAGCTGAACGTCCTCGAAACCCTGAAAATGCAAATCAATCCTCCAGTTGAGCTGCTAGAGTTTTTGTTTTTTTTTTTTTTTTTTTCGAATCTCTAATGACACTCACCGCGTTCATACCCTGGGCGTAGAAGGGTACCATGGCGTGGGCGGCGTCGCCGATGATCAACACTTTGCTTCCCAAGTGGTAGGGCTTGCTCTGAAAGAACGGCTCTGTAGCGATTTTCTTACAATCGAAGGGGATCGGTAAAATGCGGCAAAAAGTACTTTGATGGAGATGAGCGTTTTGGGCGATGTCTCGAAGAAATCTTGGACGAGCTTGTCCTCGCCAATGAGCTCGAGGGCGTCGGGAAACTGCTTGCGGTAAAAGTCGAGGAGGCGCTCGGGCGTTTTAAGGGACTCTAGGGTCTTGAAGGGGGCAAATATGTTGCCGGTGAAGGTGTTGTCGTCGTTGGGCAGGGCTATCATCATGAACTCGCCCCGCGGCCAAATGTGCAGATGTTCGCCGCTCATTATGTACTTTTGGTCCTTACCCGCGGGATAGGACAACTCGACATAGCCGTGATCTATGTAAGTCTGGTTGCAGTCGAAGCGCGGCTTTCGCGACATCATTCGTCGCACGAGCGAGTACGCCCCGTCGGCACCTATTATCAGATCCGCCTCCACGTCTATTGTCTCTTCGGTCCGTGTGCTGCGTGTGTTTCAATCAAATCAATTTTGTTGAGAAATCAGCTTTATTCGAGGCTTTATGTGTATCGACAAGTTGGTCACAAAAAGCGTTGAAAAAAAAAAAAAAAAAAAAACCAGTTGTCTTGTTGTGGACAGGTTCGAAAATAACGCGCTTTTTGTCTCCGACATGACTATGCTGATATATCCTTCTTTTTTTTATTTCTAGGCCCAGAGTAACGTACACGAGAGAGCGAGGCGAAATTATTGGTCCAAGTGTCGTCTCGGTTTTGTCTCACGGAAGGACACCTCGAGTCCTCGAGAACCAAGACTTTTAGAACATTTTCGAGCCCGAGACGAGAGGTGTTGTAAATTTTGAATGGCCGTTCGTTCGATTTTAATTTTTCATCATAAAGAATAAATGGAATATTATTTAGCCTCGCCCTCCCCGGGGCAAATCGAGCAGTATATATATATAGGTTTACTTACTCAAGGAATACCAAGGCTCCCTTTTCCAAATCTCCATCTATGAGCTTGCGGTTGAAAAATAAGCTCACGTTCGGATACTTTTCGGCAGCTGGAACATTTTATTGTCACGTTGAAATGAAACATGTCGCGCGTATAACGCGCCTAGTCGGAGAAAGAGGGGAAAAACAAAATTAATTAGTAGAAAAAAAAAAAAAAAAAACAGAGCTGTGAAACAATTGGATCGACAATGCTCGTGTGTACGCGTAACGCGTAATCTTATGAAAATATAATCGAAAGGAGAGAAGAAGAGAATAAAAAAAAAATCAAGTAGTCTCAGTCAACCAGTCGTAAGACACTACTCTCCGTGCAGCTGAACGCTATGGTCATGGTATACAGGCGCGCGAAACGCGATACTCCGTGTCCCCTGTACGGCTTCTCTCGCCACACGGGCGTTTTTTTTTTTTTTTTTTTTTTCTTTCTTTTTTTCTATTCCACGCGACTAGCGTGTTTCTCCATCGGCTAGAGCGGTAATCCAGCACCAGTCCAGGTAACAGTACACCCATGTGTACCTCGGCTTCATCTACGATTTGCCAAAGGAAAATTCACGAGCTTTCCGCGTATAAGCTTTCGTAACGCGCGCCTTGAATTTTCCTTACACTCTGTGACGCAGGTGCGGATTGGTTTCACTTGGGTAGTTTGCCGTCAACTCACCAGTTAGGAGAATCCGATTGAGGTACGTGCGGTTGACCGAGTATATGCACTGAAAATCAGTGGGACGGATCAATTTTAGCGTTTCTCACCGTATCGCAACCAAACGAAAAGAGGGCAGTTTTTTATAGGTACGTTTTTGTTGACGCTGTCGTAGACGATTTCCTTGAGGGTGCCGTCCTTCCGGTGTATCATGCGGCCCTTCATCGCGATCCCGTGGTTGTTGATTACGGAGTCCTCGAGTCCGACGGATCTTAGGGCTTCCCTTCCTCGCACCGACAGGGCGAGGTCGATGCTCACTCCGCGGGAACTTTTCACTCGGATATCTGTGTGGTTTTTTTTTTTTTTTTTTTTTTTTTTACATTTTTTTCCCCCATTTTCCGTCCTTACAATCACTTTTCACCTCTTCGGATGCCACTTTTCGTAAAATAACAAATCTTCATAAAATTTTACTTGAAACCGATTCTTTAGTCAATCAACGTTTTCAAAAGATAATTGCACTGTTTTTTGAGAAACGCGTGGAAATACGCAGATAGTCCCGAAAATCGTGTTTTTCGGCAAATGACAACAATGACGATACGATTTTTTTTTTTTTTTTTTTTAATAACTTTATCCATAAAACGTTGGTGAGTGAAAAAACGCGGTTTGATTGAAATTGCACGGATCGTCTTGGTATCGAATTATTGCAGCAAAAATAAGAATAAAAAACCGAGTACGAAAGTTACAAGCCATCACTCGATACGAGAAATTTCTTTCGTCAGATGAATTCGATATTGATTTAGTAAGAAAAATTGTGTAATAACCACCTACGGGTCGTGCAGTGGCAGTGTATCGGATGGCAAAGGAGAAAAGTGCGCGACGAATGAAACATCAAAAGTGATTTAAAAAATAAAAAAACAACAACAATAAATTAAATTACCTGAACGATACTCGTACAGGCGCACCTGGTGCCCGCGCTTAGCAAAAAAGCACGCGACCAGCGCTCCGACCTGCAAAAAAAAAAAAAAAAAAAAAAAAAAAAAAAAAAAAAAAAAAAAAAAAAAAAAAAAA